TATAACCTCAACCATGGATACTTTAAGCTCCACCAACATCTCAAGACCAATAATCAAAGCTTCATATTCTGCTTGATTATTTGTGCAATTAAAATCCAGCTGGAAAGACATCTGTGTTTTCAGCCCAGACGGGGAAATTACCACGACTCCAGCTCCAGACATGGTTTCTGTACTGGATCCATCAAAAATAAGTTTCCAGGGAACTAAACTTATTGAAAACAAGTTAATCCCTTTTTCTTCATCTGCCTCCATGTCCAGACATAGATAATCTGCAAGAAAGTCTGCCAGTGCCTGCCTTTTGATAGCCCTCTGTGGTATATACTTCAAATTAAACTCAGACAAGGCCAGAATCCATTTACCTATTCGGCCTCTTAACAAAGGGCGGGACAACATATATTTGACAATATCAGTCTTGGCAACCACATACACCTTAGAATAAATCAAATAATGTCTTAATTTTATTGCAGCAAAAAAAGAGAGCAAGACACAACTTTTCGACCAAAGAGTATTTCACTTCGGTCTGGGTCAAACATCGACTCAAGTAATACACAGCCTGCTCCTGTTTTTTATCATTTTCCTGCGCCAGCAGACATCCTATGAACTCGTCTGCGGTGGATATATACAAAATTAAAGGCTTATTTTTCACAGGCGGTACAAGTACTGGTGGTCTGGATAAGTACCACTTTATCATATCAAAGGCAGACTGGTGGTGTTCTTCCCACTTAAAATCCGCCTCAGACTTGAGTTTCAACAGAGGAGAAAAGACTCTGGTTTTCCCAGCCAAGTTAGAAATGAAACATCTTAAGAAATTAACTTGGCCAAGAAATCTTTGCAACTCCTTCTTGTTTTGTGGTGGTTTCGCCTCAATCACAGCCCTAGCTTTGTTCTTGTCAACCTCCAGACCACGCTCATGCACCAAGTACCCAAGGAAGTTACCCGCAGACACTCCAAAGGCACACTTAAGTGGGTTCATTTTCAAGCCATGTTGCCTCATCCGCTCAAAAGACTTCCTCAAATAAACCAGGTGGTTTGCTTCCCCATTTGATTTCACCACAACATCATCAATATAAATTTCCATGAATTTACCAATCATATCATGAAAAATTGCATTCATGGCTCTTTGATAGGTGGCTCCAGCATTCTTCAGACCAAATGGCATCACAACCCATTCAAAAGTTCCAATAGCACTTGGGCATCGAAAGGCTGTCTTAGGAACGTCTACGTCTGCAATAAAAATTTGGTTGTACCCACTATGACCATCCATGAAAGATAGAATTTTGTGACGAGCTACTCCATCAATCAACAAGTCTACAATTGGCATAGGATACTCATCCTTTGGTGTAGCTAAATTCAAGTTTAGAAAATCAACACAGACTCTTAATTTTCCATTCTTTTTTAGCACAGGCACTACATTTGACAACCAGTCTGCATACTTGCATGTTCGAATGAACCCAGCTTTTATCAGCCGCTCAATTTCTTCTTTCACCTTCAAAGTGACCTCTACAGACATGCGTCTGAGCGGCTATTTATACGGTCTGAATCCTTCTGCAATTGGCAGTTTATGTTCCACCAATTTCTGATCCAGACCTGGCATTTCTGAGTAATCCCAAGCAAAACAATCTTTAAATTCATGCAAAAGTCTGACGATTTGATCTCGTGTCTGCGGCTCGAGAGAGCCGCTGATAAATGTTACCTTTGGTTCACTTTCAGACCCTAGATTGATCTCCTCCAGTGGGTCTTGAACTTCAGCTTTTAAGTCATCTAACTTGGCTGGGGCAAGATCCAGCTCCTCCAAAGTTATTTCATCACCTCGGTCTACCTCCTCACCTTCATGAACAATTTCAGACCTGTCTACTTGAACTGCTTTTTCAGCAAAATAGGCCGCTAATTTCTTTGTTATCTCCAACACGGCCTTTTCTTTTTCCTGTCTCAAACGAGCTTGCTTCATTAGATTTCTTCAATTTTTAGTTTCCCCTTCAGCCTATAAGGAATTATTGTTGTTGGCCGAAGAAGTTCATCACAGACTTCCTCCACAGCACGCTTAGACAAAGACGGTCTGCTGCATGCTGTTATCCCAATCGGTTTCCCATGTCTATCCATCCCAAAAAACCGAATGGTACCAATGTCTTCTTCATAAT